CAGAATTTCAAGGTTCTAATGGCAAGCTCTACAAGGGAAACAATCACAAAGAGTTTTACAGCTTCAACTTAAAAAAAAAAAAAATTAATAACAAATATTGATTTAGATAATGATTCACCGGAACAGTTTGCTTTTGATAAAGATCACTTCACTTTATATTGCTACCGCACAGTGTACTTCGTAACTTCTACTTTGCCAATTGTCCTTTTCCATCATGGAAAGGAAAATGCATTGACATGATATGGTGGAAGAAATTTTCAATTTATTAAACACATGGGAGTTTTCTCATTTTTAAATCCTTTCGCACCTATTGACAAGAAGAAAATGATGGACAAGAGAGATTGAGAGGGAGAAAGTAATAGCAAGAGTAAATAAAATGAGGGTGCACCAGCATCTCAATTGTAATGTTGGGATTGGCAAATAATTAAGCTACAATGCTTTAAAAAAGAAGCAAAAGGATCATTGCTCAACGAAGCTACATATTGTTGTACTTTTCTTTGTTCTAGGATAAGTGTTGGCACCCCACCCCAGTGCATCCACTGTTCAGTCAAGTACAGTTCAGAAACAAAAAATTCATTCATGAATGAAATTTAAGAGAAAACGAATATTATGTTGTGGGAGTGAAGAAAGTGACAGGAATACATGCTGTATTTTCTAGTTTTCTTTTCTTTAACAGTAATTCACAACCCCAGCATTATGAAGCAAAATTCGATGATATTTCTCTTTGACAGATGGCCGCTCTCCCTGAATAATGAGTCTGTATTCCTCGCAACTCCTCTACTCTGTCATAAGAAATCAAAATCTCAGAATAGGAAAAGTAATTCTATGAGGCAATATCTGATCGTTTGTGAATTGAAACAATACATTACAAGGAGTACTCTCAGCTTTAAAAGGATATGATGACCCAAATGACATTCGACAATTAGATTTGGAGTGCATACGCTACCTGCATCAGCATGTCTAGGTCAAAGCTAAAACCATTTTAGCAGTTTTCACACAATGATGAAGACGATGCCAGTCCAACAACTGCCCAATACTACAAATCCTATTTAAAACTTTTCAATGCTGAAAGACTTTAACAACTCCCATAATTAGGATAATTGCTAGTCCCAATCATTCATGAAAACAGATGTTTACATTGTACTTGAGTAGTTTCAGAAGGTATAACATGCAACACAATACTTTACTTTGAAATATTCTATAGATGCCCAAACAATCACAATTAATAAAGCTCTGTATTTGTAGAGTGCTCTTTGCTGCAAGAGGATATGTGATGGACCAAATGACATTCAACAATTAGATTTGAAAACAAAAAAATAAATAAAAAATAAATAAAAAGAAGCGCGAACGCTACCCAAATCAACATGTTAAGGCAATACTTCAAACCGTTTCAGCATTTAGAACATATTCCCAGAAAAGTTAGATGGATAACATCAACCCTTCTTAGGACAAATTTGGATCAAGAATGACACAAAAAATCATAGAGGGTATTTGTGCATCTTAATCATATACATATATCACAAACTCTACTAAAACGATTTTAACATAATCAGAAACCAATGTTCAATAGCTCAAATTACTCTCCATCTTTGGCGTAACAAAGTTCAAGTCACCAACAACAAAACAGGTCAAACTTTTGATATTGTATGGCACTTTCAGTTAAATATGCATACTACATAGAGAAACTCACCAAATTTTGTACTCACAGTGATATTTTAGGTACCATATAATTGGTTTATGTCTAGTTGAATTCAAGCGCAGAATCCCAGCCATTTTTCTTGGACAGAAACTAAACCGCAACATATTTCCCAATAGTAGAGGAGCTGACTCGTCTGAAACTATCAAACAACATTGATTAGATTAAACTTATGATTATCACAATGTCATAATTTCTAACATTTGATGAAGTTAAAAACAATACCAGCTAGAATGAAGCCTATGAACTCTGAAATGTCACTGTCCCTTACCTAGATAGATTAGATTAGACTGACAGTGTTGAACACTACTAACAATACACGATTCGAGTAGTGTTGGTTAATTGAAACAATACACTGAATGATCTGTGCTTTCATAGGATTTGCAATGTCACAAGATGACATTAGACAATTAGATTTGATTGCCCGGACGACAACCCCAAATCAGCATGCCAAGTCCAGAGCGACAATCCAATTAGCACTTACAACATATAGATAGATAGTGAAGACACATACATTCATCATATCAAGAGTTAATCAGAAATTTCTGAAGCTACCAAAGTGATAGAAGATAGGTGCAAAGACCATCAAGAGAAGTTGTACATCTCAATCATTTCAATAATTCAATTTTCATAATTGAAAAGTTAAAAATTATGCCACGTAAATTTTACCTTACTTACTATGACATGTCTCTCGCTAGGATAGATAAGATTAGACAAATAGTGTTGACACCACAAACAATGCACCATTATTGTTGATGAACTGAACAATCTGTGCTATCAGAGGATTTGCTATGGCTGATTAGACAAATGGACTTGAGTGCGCGTACGCAACCCCACTTCCACATGCCAAGACCATAGCTGTAATCCTAGAGGCACTTCACAAATAGGTATGGAAGACACTTGAATATTGTCAAGTCTTTACCACAAATATCGCTAACTACAAAAATGATTGAAGACGAACACAAAGACCACCTAGAGTAGTTGTGCGTCTCAATCATTTATTACACTTAAGTGTCACTTCTAACCTGAAGTTCAAAACTGTTTACACTATTTTAAAGAAAACCTTCAGAAATTTATACTCACAGCAACTTATGTCATTAAACATATGTGACTTGCAAAAAATACATTGACTGATCTGTGCTCTCAGAGGATTTGCAGAGGCACAATCTGACATTAGACAATAAGAAATGAGTGCGAGACCGCAGCCCCAAATCCACATGCCTCATGCCACGTCCAAAGCTACATCTCCATCAGCACTTGAAAGGGAAAGGATAGAAAAGATACATGACATTTCACAGCCTATGCCCCGATAAACAGTTGATACAGAAATCATTTAAAAATGAGTTACCAAGACCACCATACAGGGTAGTGGCACACATGATTAAATTTTATTCTAACATTTATTGACAGTTAAACTCTAAAACAGCAATTTAAATAAAAATGCCTGGTGGATGTACTCACAAACACAATAAACGCTCACAAGAGCCGAAGAAGTGATCTGAAAAAATACAAAAACAGACATGGAATTATTTTCAACATGGAAGCAGTCACCATTTCATGCTTAATTTCGTTAGTATTTTGAGTATTTAAATGTTGAAAATGATACCAGGTAAATTTTACCTTACTTACTATGATATGTTCCTTGCTAGAATAAATAAGATTAGACAAATAGTGTTGATACCACAAACAATGCACTGTTATCGTTGATGAACTGAATAATCTGTGCTAACAGAGGATTTGCTATGGTCAATAAGACAATTGGACTTGAGTGCGCGTACGCAACCCCACTTCCACATGCCAAGACCATAGCTGTAATCCTAAGCACTGAACGGATAGATATGGAAGACACTTGAATATTGTCAAGCCTTCATCACAAATATCGCTTTCAACAAAAATGATTGAAGACTAATACAAAGACCACATAGGATAGTTGTGCATCTCCATCATTTCTATCTTTCATTTTCCATAATTGAAATAAAATGCGACTTGAAGTTAAAAATACAATTCTACTCTTGTTGAGAAACTGCCTGAAGTTAGTACTCACATAACAACTAGGTGGCTAGGCATCTCACTGGATCTGAAAAAATGAAAAGGTACAATTACTTTACACTTCTGAACAGTAATTTTTTGTTTTACAGAAACCAAAATTTGACTTAACCTTATAATCTACCATTTACAGCTGAAAGGAGTTCATTAAGATCACTTATCGTATGATTTATACCCGGCCCTGCAAATATTGTAATACATTAGTGAAGATTTCACATATTGTTGCTCTAACTATTCTGTTCTTGTTATGTTCCTGAGGTGGACAAAGCGAGTCTAGCAAACAGTGGGATTCATGCAATGATCTCTCAGCCAGAGCTTGCTTCCCTGTTATATAAAACAGTCAAGCAAAAAAGATTGATAAATAGGAAGGGTTTAAATAGCATCCTGTAACCCAATAAAACTTGGAACAATATGTGAACCCAAGTTAAACAACATTAAAACTGAGCTTAAA